AATAGGCGAACTACCTAACGTTAAAACTGGTCATGATTAATCGCTCAATTTCAGGAGTTAATTATACTTTCGAAGCCCATAGTTTAGCTTAATCCAAAGAAAGCCTAAGGTAGTATTCAGTCTAATCATTAATACAAGATATTGCAAAAGGTTGTGTTTAACTAGTAAAACTGACTATAAAATACAAAGATCCTGACAACGAGGTAATATGAGAACTAGAGACTATTAAATTCCAAATGAGTTTAGCTTATTTTTATGGTTTTTGGAGAAAAAAAGGAACTAGGAAAAAGATTAAGCTTAAGCTTACTTGTGATGGCGAATCTCCTGAATCCCGTTTTTCCCAACACCCAATCTTTCTGAGGGGTTCTGCCGGCAGAGTTTGCGAACAAAATGATGAGCTTTCGCACTTATAAACTTATTCTGTCCAAGATTCAGAGAGTCAACACCCTTAAGAGTTTTCATATAGATCTTGATTGGTTCAGAAGCCTGAAATGGTGGGCTAAAGGAAAAACGCAGAGAAGCGAGAAGAAAAAACTGAATAAAAATGTGGTAAAAATACGAAATCGAATTGACACATTAACTGCAGTAACATTCTAAGTGATCTTGTTACAAAAGTTCAAGCCTAATTTAAAACTGATAAAAGATTATAGTTGAACTGAGCATAATAAAAATAAATAGATCAGATAAAACATACATGCCAGTCAAGAGTTCACAAGTGAGTATTCCCAGGGCCCAGTAATCAGCAGCAAAGTCATGACCCTTGTTTAAAATCACTTCGGGTGCAACATATTCCGGTGTACCACAAAAAGTCCAAGTCTTGTTGCCAATACCGATATATTTGGCAAAACCAAAATCACACTGTTCAAAAAGCAATAAATAATGAATGATCAATAAGCAAAAACGCCAAATTAAAGTTTTTTTTACGAAGTATAGTGATAAATATTGAGGAAAATCAGGTTAAAAGCATAAGTTAGCATAGGCTATTGAACAAATTCATATAAATAAAAAAGATTAGGATGATTTTGGCATATTCGTATCTATCTGTATGGAAAATGTGTAAAGACAAATTAAATCATTTTGTGTTGGGCAGCTAAGCATCTATTAGGAAGGAAATCTATGTGAGCGAAATAACATGCGAGGCAGCCTAAGTTTTGGTGAGTGTTAAATATTAAGCGGGAAGAAGAACCAGCCTTATGCAGCAATTGCTAAACAATGCGAATCTGGAAAATAACAATAACGACACCGTTCATAGAGAATGATATACAATCAAGAATGAAGGTGATTAAGAGTGTAGCATCTAGCACGAAACATGATTCTCAGAAAATTGTTTTAAGGGTAGACAAAGGAGGAGCAGTTGTAGTTATCGATAAGGCAAATTATATAGAAAATATTATGCTGGCTTAAGCTGATTTTGATATGTATGAAATTATAACTAAGGACTATGCAGAAATATCGAAAATAATTTGTCTCTACTGAGGAATAAATTTTCAGACGGAAAACATTTAGTCAAAGATAGACAGGTTGAGACCTTTACCCATGTCCTAATTTTGCCGTCATGCCTTCTCTCAAAAAAGATAGGCGAATTAGTAAGAAAGCGGGAGATAAAAATAATGTTCAAAGAAACCCTCACAATTTATTCTGTTGTGTCATCTATTAGAGAGAAATATGACCCAATATCGAGATCCAGCTGCTACAAGATTGTTTGTTCATGTGGTCGATGTTATGATGGTGAGACATGCCGACCTATTCGACAAAGATTTGGAGCACAAAAATGCTTGTAAATGAAGCTGGGTCCAACGGTCAGAAGTGGCCGAACACATGGTAGAAACCCGACATGAAATAGAATGGTCTCTAAATAGTAGGTTTGTTGATTATGGTACGTCTGTGGTTAAAAGAGAGGCTACTGAAATTAATAAATTAAGGAATGCGTTGAATGTGAGGAACGGTGGTAGAAAGTTGAGTAGGAACTACTTATGCTTGATTGATAAATTAAAAGAGAAGTGTTGAGCCGCCATTCAAAAGAAGGCGACTCAGCTTGTATGCTCAGTGATGGTTCTAACTTTACTCATACTCGTCCAATATGTTAGATTAAGCTCATCAACCAAACCAGACGTGCCAGATTACGCAGCCATAGTCATGCCTTTCCTTGAGTGGTTAAACGTTAATGACCCTAGACTGAGGTTAGGAAAAGTGGTTTCCTAACTTGACTTACATGTTTACAAGCTCATATCTCATTATCTCAGCCATACTTGCTTACGGACTTACGCAGTCTCGGTCAGGGCTCTTGGGTAATTAGACCTTGATGATCAGAGCATGACATTAGCCTTTTGATAAGTCTGATTTAGGACCGATATTGCGTATAGACACTAACACACAGGCATAGACACATGTACACACTCAGGCAAAAATAACAGAACAAGTATGAAAGATAATTAGCAAACCACTCTATATCTATCTATCTAGGTTTTTAATTATTTTGGCTCAATTGAGTCTATATAAGAGGTAAGATAGAGCCGGATAGTTTTATTGCACAAGAGTTAACGTGAGACTTCTACA